TGGAGGGCCAACCCCCAAAAAAAAAAAAAAAAAAAAAAAAAAAAAAAATATATATATATATATATATATATATATATATACTATGGTTGAACTTTTAAAAGCTATCGTGAATACAAAGGTGATTCCTTTGGGGGAACTTATTAATAATTAAAATTTCTGTTGTTGCTCTTAATATCTTAGAAGTCTTTTTCTTCTGGATCACTTTATGTTGTCTCTGGTAGAGTTAGGATATGGTTATCTTTTTTGTTATATAAGATTAACTCTTTGGACTTTTATCTTTATCATACCAATTACCCATTCATAATTATGTTCAGCATCATAGTCTGAGATCTGCATGGGGTGTGTGTGTGTGTGTGTGTGTGTGTGTGGTGTGTGTGTGTGTGTGTGTGCGCGTGTGTATGTAAGGGGGTGGACAGGGGGTGCTGGGGAAGAGGGAGATTTTCAACCCACTCAGCTCTTTCTCAAACACGTTTGTTTTTTTGTTTTGTTTTTTCTAACATAATTGAGAAGGTCATTTCTCTTCTGAATCTGCACTTGACCCAGTGTGGGTTCTCTCCCCTCTCCTTGGTGGGACCACATCCTCTTTAGTTACTATTTATGTTGAAGCTTTTAAGAAATATGAAAGAAGACACGTGAAGTTCTGACCTCAAAATGTTAGTTCCCTTTACCTTATTTCGTTATGTCCGTTTTCCCCTCTGGTTTGGATCAGAATTTTAGAACATCAGGGATCTTGGAGATCTTCCAATTCAACATCTTCAAGCTCATAAAATAAGAATAGCTAATGTTAAAAGAGCACTTACTAAATAGCAGGCTATTCTAAGTGATTTATGAGTATTATCTGATTTATTCCCATAACTTCATCAGGTGGGTATTCATATTGACTTCATTTTACAGTGAAGCAAACCAATAACTTACTTTAGGGTCATATGGTTGGTAAGCAGCAGGGCTGCGACTCTGCCATAGGTGGGAGGTTCCCTAAATCTGTTTGATTGGAACCACTACATTGCCGTTCTAATTCTTGGCTTTGCAGGTGACGTGAGTTCACCACCTAGCTTTATTCTACAGGTTTATTTTAGAGATCATATTCCTAGCCCCCAGTTGGGAGGGCTCTGTCCTTCAGTGCTGACTTGTTTGAGATATGCAGGGTTAAACCTGACTCCGTGTCCCTCTCTGGTACCCACAGGTCACAGCAAACCAAGATCCCAGAGCATCAGCAAACAGATGAGTTGTATCCCACTAGTGGGTCTGGAGAGAGCAAACAAGATGCTAAAGCCAAGCAGGAGAAGGCCATAGACCGTATGTCTCTTCCCAAAGAGAAACTGGCCCAATCCCAGAAGAAAGTAGCTCAGCTGATTAAGGGAAAAATGATAATAAAACCAAAAACTCACTGGGTTCTCCATTTAAAAATACGTCCATGACTAGAGAAGTTCTTCCTTAATTGCAGATCGAAGGACATGAAGTAGAGGAAGGTGTTATATTTCTTTATAAGTGGAAGAAAAGAAAGCAGAGCGTAGTTGGTAGCCAGCCCGCCTTCAGGCTCCACACGTGGGTCACTGTGCATGCCTCCTTGGAGTGTTTGTGCTCCTAGCTTTAAGCTAAAAATTAATGTTTGCTTCTTCCTGTTGCTGTTTGATTACGTTAATTAAAAAATCATCTTTTGATTTCTCCTGAAAGGTTTCAGAATAATATCTTTTGGGTAACAAGAAGGCCAGGATAGTGAGGCAGGAGGCTGAGAACAAGGGTAGCCAGGCAGAGTCTAGGCTCAGGCCTGGCAAGGATACGGTAAGATGCCTGTGGTTACAATGGAATCGTACGCAAACCAAAGGACCGGAAGTGGGCGGTAGCAGCGGGGGTCAGAGAGTGTAGGTATCCATTTTCAAGAGCAAAGCAAGGACTTGGGAACTAGGACCTCAGAGCAAGCGTTTAACAAGAGTGTTCAAAATGCGGGAACCCGAGAAAGCATGTCAGTGACCCTCACGATTAACACACAGGCACTGGCCTGCTCCCAGAGCATTATTTATCAACAAAGGAGTTCATGTGCTGACTTACTGACTTCCTGGCCATTCCTGGCTAAAGGAAAAATGATCTTAACGTACACCTGTGAAAAAAAAACTATGCAGATGGCTTAGGAAAGGCTGAGAGGCACTTCAGAGGGAGGTGATAGAAGCTGATAGTTCCCTGTCAGATGGATGTATTTATAATATAAAGTTACCTCTGTAAATTACCCAGGAACTTGCAAAGGACCATCATCCTGACCTGGATCCAATAGTATTTCATAAACCCAGGCTAGAATGATCACTTCTAGAAAGACAAGTACCAACTGCCGTGGAATGCAAGTGTGGGCTTTTAAGACTTGACAGCTCCTCGGGGACTTCCCTGGTGGTGCAGTGGTTAAGACTCCCAATGCAGGGTGTCCGGGTTTGATCCCTGGTCTGGGAACTAGATCCCACATGCGTGCTGCAAAGAGTTCGCAAGCCACAACTAAGGAACCCGCCTGGTGCAACTAAGACCCAGCACAACCAAATAAGTAAATATTAAAAAAAAAAAAAAAAAAAAAAGACTTGACAGCTCCTTGACCAGTTTGGATAACGACAAAGATTTAGATTTAGGAGTTATATCTAGCCCAGCTCAGCGCTCACAGCCCTGAAGGAAAGGAATATTGCTGGCAGGAGCAGCAGCCCTGGATTGACCTCTAGAGCCCATACTGTTTGTCTCAGTTTCCCCAGGGCGGGAAGTGTGGGGATGAATGAATACAGAATGTCCAGAGCCAGGACAGAGCTCAAGGCTTTGGACTCTCATTCCAGTGATTTTTCATGATGTTATGCTTCTCCCTCAGAATAGAACTTAGTATTTACTGTGCGTTCAGCCCGTGCAGAACTCTCAAAAATTCTGACTGAATGCATGTTTCTAAAACACGAGGGGAAATGTCCCTCTAATGCTGTTTGCGACTGTGTGTTTGAGCTGGGAGGGGTGAAGCATCAGGGTAGGAAGGAGATGGGGTGGGGGGACGGGAATCATGGGGATCAGAAGGGAGCAGTCCTTGGACCACTCTGTCTGTGTGTTACTCTTTAAATGGTTACATTCAGATAACATGTAACGGATTTGGATCACTTTGATGTTGACTCACTGTCCCTACAGTGACTCCATGAGGTAGATGGTATAGATTTCCAAATAGAAAAGGAAGCTGGGACTCAGGGTGATCTTGCCCCAAACATCACAATCAGTAAACAGAGGGTTGAAACTCCAGGCTTTTGAGTCCTTGAAGTGCCGTTTTCACCTCACCAGGAAATAAATGCCTGACTTTGTCAATTAGTGCAGCCAGTTGATGACTGTGTTTGTAAAGTTACTGACATCTATGACCTGAAGGTGCAGTTCTCTGATTTCTTAGAGAGCTCTGCCTGTCAGTTCTACAGAGCCAGGGGCTCTCTCCCTCATACTTATCTTTGCCAATCAAGAGATGATTTATTCAGCAAATACTGAATGAGTGCCTCCTCTCTGCATGGAGCATACAGCAGTGAACATGAGAAATAAACTGTTCTTTTATTTATTTATTAAATTTATAAATTTATTTATTTATTTTTGGCTGTGTTGGGTCTTCATTGCTGTGGTGAGCCGGGGCTACTCTTTGTTGCGGTGTGCAGGCTTCTCATTGCAGTGGCTTTTCTTGTTGTGGAGCACGGGCTCTAGGCACATGGGCTTCAGTAGTTGTGGCACGTGGGCTCAGTAGTTGTGGCACACAGGCTTAGTTGCTCCGTGGCATGTGGGATCTTCCCGGACCAGGGCTCGAACCTGTGTCCCTTGCATTGGTGGGCAGATTCTTAACCACTGCGCCACCAGGGAAGCCCCAGGAGTAAACTGTTCTTGAGGAACTTATTTTCTATTTGGGGAGACAGATCATAGACAAACAAAATAATAGTTACTGCAATATCAGAGATAGGTAAGTGCCATGAAGAAAAAAATCAAATAGGTAATGGGATAGTAAGTGATGGGGGTGAGAGTCTGTTTTAGATAAGGTGGCCAAGGAAGACCTCTCTGAGGTGAATGCAGTGAAAATGACAGAAGAGGGTAATGATGTGTGAGAGTGTCCCAAGCTGGGGGAACAACAGGTGTACAAGCCCCAAGTTAGAAGTTAGTTTGCTATGTTCAGGAACATCAGATTTGTTTAAAAATCCAGATGTGTTTATTATAATAATAATACGAAGAAGAATGATAAATAACTAGCTATTTGGTCACCATTGGAGGATGCTAGTGAATGAACTCATTATTTGGAAAGCTGATAAATAAAGAGAATGATTAAATCATGTATCCGGTCCTTCCGATATGAACTGTACTATTGGGTAACTAAGAAGGAGATGAGAGGAGATTTCTTTTTATAAAGTTATTCCACCTAACATATGAAGAGGGAATGACAGAATTAGGATATCAGCGTTTTATAATCTTTTATAGATTCATTCATGTAGTTGTGCTTTTATCAGAAAGAGACAACCCAAGGTTAGGTGTCTTCTGATGGTAGAACATATGACGTAGTTTTGCTTAAAAAAAAAAAAAGCTAAAGGTAACCAAACTTCTAAATCAACCACCAATGTAAAGGCAGAATGGAGATTGGAAGGACATGTTGAGTGACACCATAAAGATTCAACCCAATTTCCATTTTGGGGAAACACTATAAACCAAATAACTCAGTTTCTTCAATAAATAATTTGCAATGAAAAGAATTAGAAATGGAGGTGGAACCCATTGATGAAAAGAGACTCAGGAGACTGATCACAGTGTATGGACAATTAAACTGTAAAAGAAATGTTAGCTTTATGAGGTGATTATTAGGTTTATGAGACTAGGTATTTGATAGTAAGGAATTGTTAGTAATATTTTGGTGAGATAATGATTTTGTGGTTATATTTCTAAGTCTGTATCTTTTGGAGATACTTATGAAATATGAAATGATTTAATATCTTTGATTTGCTTCAAAATCGTAGAGGGAGGGCTTCCCTGGTGGTGCAGTGGTTGAGAGTCTGCCTGCCGATGCAGGGGACACGGGTTCGTGCCCCGGTCCGGGAAGATCCCACATGCCGCGGAGCGGCTGGGCCCATGAGCCATGGCCGCTGAGCCTGCGCGTCCGGAGCCTGTGCTCCGTAATGGGAGAGGCCACAAGAGTGAGAGGCCCGCATACTCAAAAAAAAAAAAAAAAAAAAATCGTAGAGGGAGAGGGTGGATGCTTGAGGAGCATAGGTATGAAACCTATGCTCCAGATTGAAATACCAGATTTCAATCTGGTATGAAACCAGATTGGCTGTGAGCGATGAAGCTGACTCATTCTCCATGCTCTTTTTGTATACTGTTAAAGTTTTTCACAATAAGAGGTTAAAAGAAGTCACTCTGGCTATGATGTAGAAAGGAGACTATGGGGGGCAAGAGTGGAGGCAATTAGGAGGGGCTGTGGTCACCCAGGTCAACGATGAGGGTGGCTTGGACTAGGTACACGTGGCAGAAATGAGAAGTGCGTAGCTTTAGGACTTAGGAATAGGGTGGAGCCAAGAGGACTTGATGGATTGGCTGTGGGATGGGAAGGGGGGAGGAGAGAAAAAGTTGACAGTGGATGCAGTCCTGCAATCCAGTGATAAGATACAGGCTGGAGACTTTCCTCCTTTCCAAAAAGTGTAATGACTTGTTTGCTCTCTGCAGAATACCCAAGCAAATAAGGAGCTGATTCGCTGTGTCATCCTTTCTCGGATTATTTTTGGGGAAGAACCCTGGAAATGTGCACAGGCTTTGGCCACCCTGGCTTATGGCTACCTGACACTGAGAGGTACTCGATTTTCCCGGCTGGGTCTGGGGGGGGCCAGCCACACTGAGCCCACACAGAACCACAGTTGGGGTAGGGTTGCCCAGGGGAGGGTCCATCCTGTCCCCAACTCACACCTTGTCAAGAAGCGGGGAAGTCCATGGATGAGGCGGGCAGTGTGACAGGGATCGTAGAGGTAAAGGTAATAATGAGGGAAGGAAAGCAGAGGACAGAAGGCTGGAGGACAAGAGCATTAGGATTGGGTAGCGGAAGCGGAGCCAGCAAGGAAATAGAATCAGGAGGGGCCAAGTCATGGAAGCCAAGGGTGGAGAAGGGGTTTCAAAAGGACGTGCAGTGTGGTTTCAGCAGGGTCAGATGGCAGAGAGAGGTCAAATGAGGTGAAGGCTGAAGACAGACCCATGGATTTGTCAGTTGGCAAGTCATTGACACTTGGTTTGGCACCAACAAGTATACTCCTTGGGCCCTGGGAGAGCCCAGATTCAGGGAGACAACTTAGATAACTATTTTTGAAATTCTGACTTGAGGTGATGGCAGCTTGAACCTGAGAGGAAAGTACCAGAAGCGTTTGAGGGGGATGTTTGTCTGAACCAAGGGCAGGCAGACACGGCCTCCCTTTCTTTAGAGAGATTACTGTGGTAGGTCTGTGGAAGGAGGTTGGCCTTCATCTTCTGAAATCAACCCTTTCTATGAATAGCCACAGTAGACTTTGAGTTTTGCTTTTCCATTTAGATTCCAAACTAACTCAAGACAGGTAAACAGGTTATATTATAAAAGATGGTGGGAGCACCACCCTCTTTTCCCTAATTCACAGTTCTTCCTGCCACATGAATGGAGAACCACATTTGAGTAGTAGGTTGGAGGGGGAAAAGTTTTCCTGTAAAAGAAGGTCTTTTTGTGTGTTTGTTTTTTCTAGATGGGAAAAACAACTTCCTGATTAGCTGAAGTGCCCACATGATATAACAGCACTCAGTCTTGAACCCAGACTTTCTGAGGCCTAGCCTAGAGTTTTTCTAGAATAGGTTTTGATTATGACCGTACCTTGAGAATAGCCTAGGGTCTCTTATTTCAGGTATAGGCCTTACGCAGCTTCTTCACTTTAACTTTTTTTGAAGTCTGTGGTCCTTCAAGTAAAACAACGAAAGCTTTGAAAAATCACAGACCTTCAAGAGGGATGAAGTGCTTGCTGAATTCCACTTAGTTTTGTTGTCATTAATCCTGCAACTGCTTTAAAATGGACAGAATTTATGAGCCAGGCTCCCATGTAGGCGGGACGTATGCGTCTGTGTGTGCTCACGCCTCGCTGCACATGTGCATGCTTTATGGCCAGCAGACCTGCCTGCCTCATTTCCCTGGGAGCCTTTTCCAGCAATGGGGAAAGGGCGTGAAGCCAGAAGGCTGATTTCTCTCGATAAATGGTCTTCCAGTAAGTATTTAATGAGACACTTGTATATGTGAAATTCTTTGACGAGGGCTCTGGGAACTGTAAGGGACAGAAGGCACAGTCGTTGCCTTCACAGAACTTCAGAGAACTTACAACCTCGTGTGGAAGGTGAGCTACCCACCGACAACTACGATAGAAGGCACCGGAAGGCCATGCGACTGGTTTAAATACAGGGCTTTGGGGGCGCTGGGTGAAATCATTTCTGGCAAGGTAGTAAGTGATAGATTCAGGAAGAGGTGCCATTCAAGAAGGCCCTTTAAAAATGAGTAGGGTTGGGTAGGCAGAAGAAGGGGTGGGCATTTCTGATGAAGAACAAGGCCTGGCAGACTCATGGAGGTGGGAAAGTGCAGCGTGTGTTTAGAAAGTAATCAGCAGCGCTGGCTAGATACGGTGAGGACCACTCAGGTGGACCTGGAAAGGAGGGCACTTTGGGCAGGCTGAGGAATTAGTCATTTATTTGGTAGACAAGGAGGACTATTAGAGATTTTCCAGCAGGGGGATGAATAAATCAAAGTGTGCTTTTGGAAAGGTCAGTCTAGCAATGATAGCTAGAATGGAAGCTATCTCATCTAGCTGTTTACCTCTAGGTGTAAAACCAGGCTGGTGACGGGGGGCACGAGTGAGAAGGTAAGGATTTAAGAGTCTATGAAGGACAGATACCTTTACCTTTTAAGCCAGAAATCCCACTTTTGGGACTCTTTCCTGAATACACACTTAAATGGATGGTATTATTCTTTGCAGCATTGTTTACGATAGTAGAAGATTGGAAACAACCAAGAATACTCATCACTGAAGGCCTAATACACACTATGTGGTATATACAGCCTTAGAAAGGGCATGGGGAAGCTTATCTACCACTAGGTAAAGATCTCCTGGATACATCTTTAGGCAACAGAGAACGCACAACGCAGGACCGTGTTTGTAACATACCTCTTTTCAGGTAAGAAGGAGGGGAGAGAAATGAGAATATGTGCTTATATTCACATCAAGAAACGCTGAAGGAAACACAAGAAAGAAACAAGAGTTACCTAGAGGCTCCTTGTGAAAGGGAATAGAATTTGAAGTGAGACCTCTCAACATTTACCTTTTCGTATAGTTTTAACTTTTGAACCATGGGAATGTATCACCTATTCAAAAATGAGAGTTAAAAAAGGGCTGTGAAGAAAGAATTGGCAGGACATGGCATTGGATTTGGGGTTGAGGAAAAGTGAGGCCCCAAGATGACCATGAAGTTTCAGGCCCCTCAAGGTGCCATCATCAGAGATAAGCCGGTCAGGAAAGGAAGCGAAGTGGGAGAGGAATGGTGGGTCTGGTTTTCGATATATTGATTTTGAATTACAACGGAGAAATCCACAAGTATATTTTTACCAGGTGCTGGAAAGTTGGGACCAGAACTGGGGAGGAGAGAAGGGGAATCATAAGCATGGAAGAATATTTGAGACCAGAACTAGGGAGGGGAAATGGAAAATTATAAGCATGAAGGCCAAGGTTGAAGTTATAGGAGTTGATAAAACTTCTGAGAGGAGAGAGAAGAAAAGGAAGAAATGGAAAGACAGACCCTTGGAGAATGGACGTATTAATGGAAGGGAACAGAGGACCCTGGTAGAGTGAGCAAAGAGTCAGCTAGAGAAGGTTTTTCAAGGAGAACTCCGTTAGAGCAGTGCCTTGTGAGCCAAGAGGAGAAGCCAAGCAGCTAAGGTGTCTGATGCTGCCATGAGACGGGGATACAAGAAACTGCGACTGCACTTACTCAGTAAGTGGCCCTTGGGGACCTCACGAGAACCATTTCTGCAGAAGGGTTGGAGCAGAAGCCAGATCCCAGGGATGAGGGGAAGGCATGGGCCGGTAGCCTAGGCTATGTATGCTACGTCCTGCATAGTGAAAGGGATGAGGGGAAATAGGAGGGTAGCTAGGGAAGGCAGAAAGGTCATTTGAAGCTAATTTTATAAGAGGAGGAGACCTGGGAACATTTTAGGCGGTGAAGAAGGAGCCAGATAGAGAGCTTGAAGGTTTTAAAGAATGGAGCAGTCGATGCAGGGGGGTTCAGGAGTCAGTAACAGAAAAACGCGAGGCCTCTGCGAAGCAGAGAGTGTAAAAGACTGATGGTTGGTGAAACAGGGTAAGGGACACTAGAAGTGGAACTCTGTCACCAGCTGACGTGGCGAGAACCCTCCCGAGCCTAGGGCTTCAGTGGCTGAGAAAAGGGCAGGTGGAGGTGGCTGGTCACCTTGTGACCACTGTTTTCATGTGTCCAGGAAGGAGAAGACGGTAACATGGGCAAGCAGTTTCCTGATGTGTTGCCTGTTATTAATGAAGCAATGAATTAATCTGTTAGCCTGTTACTACTGGGAACCTTCCAGGTATCTGGGGCTCTAAGTGTTGCAAAAATCTCGAAAAAGAAGCATAAGTCATGAACCCTACCTTCTCTGTCTCATTGGTAAAAAAGCTGGTACAGGAACAACAGGGAATGATAAAGAGCAGTTGATCTGACCTGCAGGAAGCCTGGTACCTATCTGAAGTGAGTGTGCGTTTGAGAAGGCAGCCTTTTATAGAGATTCTGTAAGCAGCTTTATGAAGAATGTCCAGAGTACATAAGGACAAGTATAATAAATTGCTTAAGGGGAATGGACCCTGGTAGTAATGATAATGATAACAGCTAATATTTATTTAAACTCATTTCATTCCTATGTGCCAGGCACTATTTAATCCTTTTTCATAAATTAATTAAATTAATCCTTGCAACAACCGTACGAGGTGGGAGGTATTTTCATTGCCATCTTATAGGTGAATAAACTGAAGTACATTTAGATTAAGTAACTCACTCAAGTAGTAAGTGGCTAAGCCAGCTTCTGTACCTTGAAGTCTGGCCCTAAGACCCTGCTGTCTTGATCACTGTACCACGAGAACTTCTTAAATATAGGTGATGGTCAAAGGTGACAGCAGCAGCCTCCGAAGACTGAGTAGCTCCGAGAAGATTCTGTGGCCTGAGTCAGAGTAACAGAAATCAGTGGTGGAATCTTACCCCAAACTAAAGCAAAATGATTGATACATTTGTTGGACAATCTCTGGACCGCTTTTCCAGTTCATTAATATGCCCTTGTGATTTCTGAATCTCAGGCTCCAGAAGCAGGTCTTGCTGCCACCCTGATGTTTACTTCTATAGTTGCTGCCCTGTTGGTGCAGGGAGAAGGCTGGTGTCCCTGGCTGGGGAGGGCAAGTAAAGGAAAATGATGTGGTCTTGGAACAGACATCAGATTCAGGGAGGTGGGACTTGGAGTTAGGGAACAAGGTCACCGATCTGTGAGCATCCTCTAGAGAGAGAGGAAATGAGTCTTACACAGACACATATATGCAGAGCATTATTTTTACATAAAAGAGGGTGTTCTTGCAATTAGTAAAAAGCAAATTCATTTCAGAATATTAGATTCTGACTCATCATACTTTGTCATCCTGAATTTTCTCATGTAGGAAATGCTATAAAAATATTATCACAGATTTTTTTTAATGAAAAAGGAGCTTTTTCATACTTGAAAACTTTAGAAAACATTTGTCTAGAGCAGTGGTCTCTAAACTCTTGAGAATTAGCTCTCTTTTCACAAAAAATGTTTTGAGCACTCTCCATAAATATGTATTTATTATAAACTATGTACAATAGTATTAAATATTATGTAAATATTATATTCATAAAAATAGAAAACAAAAAAGATTGGTTTTAAAAGCAGAGAAATTTTAATTTTTTCCCCACACCCTTATGTCATCTTGCATACCCATAGGGGTACACGCACTCCACTTTGGAGACCAGAGTGGATTCTGGGAAGAGTAAAGGAGTCATTTTTTTCTTTAGGGCTGAATTTAAAGTTGAATGAGCTGTTTTAAATCAAGATCCTAGTTGAGTTTACTTTAGTCCATTGGTTACCAGCTCAGCTTTTTCATCAGAAGGACCACAGTGCAGGGCATGGTGAAGGGGAGACAGGGAACTATATAATCAATTAGCTGCTGAGTTTAGAGGAAAAGGGTTCCTCTTGGGGATTTCACAGCCAACACTGGACCCCTAGGGCTGGGGTGTGGAGCTGAGGGGGCAGCCTTGCAAAGCCTCAGAACAACTTTAGGGTTTGTTTTCTGTTTAGGAGCCCAGAAGCAATGTTGTGCTGATTTGCGGCTGGTTTTCAGTAGCTCATCCAGTTTCACTTTTCTCCCTCCTGTGGAGCCAGGGAAGCGTCTAAATGTGGTTCCTGCACTCCTTATTGACACACTCCCAAGGGCCCAGATGGTTGTGGAAAGTAACCTATTTGATAAAAAGACTCTCGGTTTCCTACTTTGGTGTCTTGGTCTGATTCCCTGGCAGAGTTTTCTGTTGCTGCTGCCTTCTCAAGACCTATGAAGACTCCCTATTACCTAGCAGATCAAGTCCAGCTTCCTCAGCTTGGCACCCAAGACTCCATTTTCTCCATCCAATTCATACGTTATGTGTCTTTCAACTTAAACCCCCCTTCAGGCAGACTGGTCTTCTTACAGACTTCCCTAATACTGCAGCACCCCCCAACCCCACCCCACCAGTGCACATGTGCACGAGTGTGCTTGTGCACGCACACACACACACATGCTTATTCTGTCTTTATGGCCTCAGGCTGTTTACTCCAAGTGGAAACGCGTTCTCGTTCTTCTCAGTCAGTCAAAACCCTACCTACTCTTCAGAAAGGAGATGAGTCCCGCTTCCTGTATAAAGGCTTTACTAACTCACTGTTTCTCCAAATGTGGTCCTCAGACAGCCTACATCAGTATCACCTAAGATAGTTGTTATAAATCTGAATCCTTGGTTCTCACCTTAGAACTTGTGAACTGTAACTACTGGAGGCCCAGGAATCTGCATTTAACAGGGTGCTTGTGACGCTCCATGCAATTTGAGGACCACTGTCGTCTGGTAACTTGAGATGCAGCCCTCTCTTTCACCACAGAGTCCAGTTTTCTTTTCAGTTGAGACCTACAGAACAGGCATCTCCGAGTGTCCTACAAAGACTTCTTGGCTTCTGGGTCACTTTTAGGGCTCTTCCAGAGAAACTGTGTTTCCATTGCTGCAATTCACTAAGGACCTGCACATCTGGAACATATGAGGGCTGCAGGCATCAAATGCAAGTCCTTTCAAATTATCTCTGTTGCCACTGACTGCACCCATACTGTGAAAGCGGGCTCCAAGGGCCAAACGGAGAGCAAACTGAGGGCTGAGGTGTGAGCGGAGCATCAGAGGCACAGTGGGCCTCCCCACAGTGGCAGGGGTGAATATGTTTCTCAGACCCTGGGGGCTGCCGAGAGGAGAGCTGAAGCAGCCATGGCAGCCCTCAGTAGGGTGGACGAGAACCCCTATGTGTTCTCTGCTGGATTTTCCCTTTTCTAGCCTAGACATGAGCTAGGCTAGAAGATGAGGAAATAGTTCTGTAAACTGAATACTCCCAAGCCTCCCTCTGTTAACTGGACTAATAGTTCAAGTAAGTGCCCGGAATACCAGCCTGTAGTTAGAAAATGAGGGGAAACATGCCCCATGTTCTGTCTAGCAGAGGTTTGGTATCCCCTTTGTCTTCTTTCTCTAGAGAGGGGCCTCACTGCATTTAGAAATCAGGTCTTTTGTGCGTGTGCGTGCGTGTGTGTGTGTGTGTGTGTGTGTGTGTGTGTGACCCAATTTGTATCACCAGCTTCATCTTGGATTGAAAAATCCCCAGATGGAAGTAATTGTATTCATAAGCCCTTTGACTTTATAGAATGCCTTTTCCAGAAAGCTCGAATGAAGCATAGCACTCTGTGGCATAACCTAGTTCATTCCTGGACTATCTCCATGTGTTTGGTAAAAGGGCAGCTTCTATACTTTTGTTGTCATTTTACATTTGGAGGATGGAGAAGCTTTGTGGATTGAAAAGGTCACATGGCATTAGCAGTGGATTGGAAATGGGATACTCAGCTTCCACTCCTGACTCCATCAGTGATTTCCAAACCGAGTCCGTAGACGAATGCCAGGATGGCTGCATAAGAAGCATTTGTGGAGTTAATTCAAAATATAGAGTCCTGGACACTATTCCTCTAGAGATCCCAACTCAGTACTTCTGGGGCGAGGGGCAGGATGGGGGGAGCCAGGAACCTATATTCTTTACAAACATTCCAGATAGTTCTAATGCACTGCCAATTTGGGGAACCAATACTAAAGACCAAATGACAACCACACTGCCTTCCTTCCCCATCCCAGGAATGTCTTTGACTGAAAAACCTTTTTAATGTTTCTCGTCTTGCCATCCACCCTCAAACTTCCCCAGGCCTCCCAGCTCAGGCCAAAACATGCTGAGTCTGCCAAGAACACACTGCTGACCTGGAAGGGAAACACGACCTCAGACAAGGAGAAAAAGGAAATCCTGGAAACTCTGGTCATGCTCTACTACACTCTGGGGGTGGCCTGGCTCCTACAGAGCTGATATCCTTCCCTTCCCAGCGGGGTCTGGAGATCAGGGCCAGGGGCCACGCATGCCACATGGGTCGTCTCACACAGGGTGAGAGGTGAAACCGAGGCCTCGTAGCTCCATTCTGACATCCAGGTCTTCCACAAGCCTCTGCTGTCCATCTAGGAAGTACGAACGTTCCTCCTGTGTCTAGTCATATGAGCTCTGAGTTAAGCCATGGGAGGGTTGTCACTGGGGACACATCCCCTGGCCAGCTGAAAGCTTTTGGAGCCTGTCCCGCTCCTCATAGAGCACTCAAGACAGTGTTAGCAATGAGGACGCAGGTGATAGCGGTGGTGGCCATGTAGGAAGACAGAAAATGAATGGTAATTTAAAGCACTGTTTGTCAAAGTAGGCTGCACATTGTAATCCCCTGGGGGAGCTTTCAGAATTATTGCTATTTGGGTCCCACCCCAGAGAGTTTGATTTAGTAGGTCTGGGGTGCATCTGTTCATTGAGATTTTTAAAAGCCCCAGGTGATTGTAACATATAGCCAAAAACCTCTGATTTAATGTACACATGTTCATTTTAGTTTTTCTGAAATGCCGTTGAGAACACTGCCCATGAAACCAGAGGCCAAGCAAAATAGACAAAAGAAATAGTTCTCCATATTTCCAGAGGGGAACTGTTATATATGCCTCTCCTCAAAAAGCTTGTGATTTTGACAGCTCCTTTTGGTACCATCTCCACTTGAAAACTGTTCAGGGTCTTTCATGTTCATGAATAATCATAAGCCCTCTTTGAGCCCATGTGTCCCCAGTCTCTCCTCCCTACACATCCCCCTCTCTACTTCTTTGGTTCTGATGCTCAACTTGAAAAATCTGATATGTTTCCTTCCTCTCTTATGCCCGTAGTAGAGGGCTATTGAAAATGTGGGATAGAAGGATATTTGGGAATTAAGGGGATTTTCTTTCCAGCTATTTGCCTCTCGCCAAAAACCTGCTTTGCTTGGACTTTCTAAATGACCCAGAAAGTCCCTTTCAGCAGAATTAGTTCCTCTCTTTTACAGAAACCCACTTGGGAAAAATGAATAATTGTTGTCACGCAGTAGATGTCTCTAAGGAAATCCAGTGTAATTTACGGTTTCTGTTCACTCCAAACGCTCACCACCCATCCTAGCCCTGGATTGCTGCAATACCACAGAACACCCAGGGCCCTGTTCCTTTTCTGAAGAATTCTCCCTTCTTGACAACATATATAGATGGAAAATAGAGAACACAGGGAAGGGTGCATTTTCAAATACTGCTTTGTTTTCCCAAGGGCCCCTTTTGTTTGCTTACCCACTGCTGCCCCTGGTCAGTGGCGGGGGGTTTGTGTACCTGGCATTCTCCTTGACTGTTTCACTGGCAGAGAGGCTTATTTCAACCTGCAGAAGTCAGAGAGAAACATGGAGGAGCTGAAAAAATCATATAAGGGAGGTACTTCTGGATTACAGGTCTCAGAGAAAGACCTCTAACAATTGCTTTGGACAGGTAAGATCTGGGCTTAGACAAGCTTGGACTTTTATGGCTAAGGCCTGGAATTACATGATTGTCTTGTACTCTCTATATAAAGGGAGAAAAATATTCAGAGCCAAAGACCCAGAGACTCAAATGATAGTAAAAGAGGCTCATATTTGCCAAATGCATACACCATGGTCTAAGCTTCGTGTGCTCTGTCCCATTTAATCCTCACAGCCACCACTGAGGTAGTTAGTGCAATAATTATGTCATTAGAGAGAGGGCAAAGATACTGAGCTGAGGTTAAACAAACTATCCAAGGTGAAGCTTTTTTTTTTAATATATAAATTTTATTTATCTATTTTTGGCTGCGTTGGGTCTTCATTGCTGCGCGCGGCTTTCTCTAGTTGCGGCGAGCAGGGGCTACGCTTCGTTGCGGTGCACGGGCTTCTCACTGCGGTGGCTTCTCGTGTTGTGGAGCACGGGCTCTAGGTGCGTGGGCTTCAGTAGTTCTGGCACATGGGCTCAGTAGTTGTGGCTCGTGGGCTCTAGAGCGCAGGCTTAGTAGTTGTTGTGCATGGGCTTAGTTGCTCTGCGGCATGTGGGATCTTCCCGGACCAGGGATCGAACCCGTGTCCTCTGCATTGGCAGGCAGATTCTTAACCACTGCGCCATCAGGGAAGCCCCAAGGTAATAAGCTTTAAGTGTTGGATCTGAACTTGATCTGAACCTACAGACTGTTAGCCCTTCCTTGTGCTGCCCCTCATACTTACTGTAAAATTCCTTTTTTTTTCTGAATTGCCACCTACTTTTGTCATCAAGTATGACAACTTAAAAGATGAGAAAGGAACAGTTAATGAAGACAGTTTATTGGAGGTCCGTGAGTTATGCATAGCACGTGCATTTTAAGGGAAAGTTGTGTTCCATATGGAAACAAAGTTCATGGAATTTGTTCAAGCCAGAATGAGACTTAACTGTTTCACAGTTGAGTTAGGGATCCTCTGAGAATCAGAATATTTAGATACGAGAGTGGGCCCATCAGATTATCGGAAGAAAAAAAAAGAATCATAAAAGGTTTACTATCCCCTAGAGTTTTCAAATATCTTCACATACTTAAAAGCAGTCTGTTTCCAAAACTGTAAGCACTTGGCATGGTAGGGTAGGTGACGAAATGGTAAGGAAATGACATGAGTCATGCCTGCCTCCTCTAAAAAGCCATGAATCTAGAAGTCAAATGGGAAATGGCAGGGAGATGTCCGAACGTCCAGAGTTAAATATTGAATTAAGTCCACAGGCCCATAAATTAGAGTCTAGTGAATGTCTACTGCTGTCACACGGGGCAGTGACTAAGGTTTTTGTGCTTATGTGAAAGATAACCTTGTTCCTCTTTCAGAATAAATTTGAGTGCATATTTCATTCATCCATTCCACACTGTTGACCTGTTTTGTACATGCACTGTTCTAAGTGTTGGAACGTTTACTAAAGTATAACTACATCCTAGACACTGTTCTAAGTGCTTTACATAATTTATTTCACTCAGTCTTATACCACAAGCATATGAGGTAGGTATTTTTCTGTTTAACTTACAGATAAGAAAATTAAGGCATGGAAAAATTTGGGCTCTAGAGCGCAGGCTTAGTAGTTGTTGTGCATGGGCTTAGTTGCTCTGCGGCATGTGGGATCTTCCCGGACCAGGGATCGAACCCGTGTCCTCTGCATTGGCAGGCAGATTCTTAACCACTGCGCCATCAGGGAAGCCCCAAGGTAATAAGCTTTAAGTGTTGGATCTGAACTTGATCTGAACCTACAGACTGTTAGCCCTTCCTTGTGCTGCCCCTCATACTTACTGTAAAATTCCTTTTTTTTTCTGAATTGCCACCTACTTTTGTCATCAAGTATGACAACTTAAAAGATGAGAAAGGAACAGTTAATGAAGACAGTTTATTGGAGGTCCGTGAGTTATGCATAGCACGTGCATTTTAAGGGAAAGTTGTGTTCCATATGGAAACAAAGTTCATGGAATTTGTTCAAGCCAGAATGAGACTTAACTGTTTCACAGTTGAGTTAGGGATCCTCTGAGAATCAGAATATTTAGATACGAGAGTGGGCCCATCAGATTATCGGAAGAAAAAAAAAGAATCATAAAAGGTTTACTATCCCCTAGAGTTTTCAAATATCTTCACATACTTAAAAGCAGTCTGTTTCCAAAACTGTAAGCACTTGGCATGGTAGGGTAGGTGACGAAATGGTAAGGAAATGACATGAGTCATGCCTGCCTCCTCTAAAAAGCCATGAATCTAGAAGTCAAATGGGAAATGGCAGGGAGATGTCCGAACGTCCAGAGTTAAATATTGAATTAAGTCCACAGGCCCATAAATTAGAGTCTAGTGAATGTCTACTGCTGTCACACGGGGCAGTGACTAAGGTTTTTGTGCTTATGTGAAAGATAACCTTGTTCCTCTTTCAGAATAAATTTGAGTGCATATTTCATTCATCCATTCCACACTGTTGACCTGTTTTGTACATGCACTGTTCTAAGTGTTGGAACGTTTACTAAAGTATAACTACATCCTAGACACTGTTCTAAGTGCTTTACATAATTTATTTCACTCAGTCTTATACCACAAGCATATGAGGTAGGTATTTTTCTGTTTAACTTACAGATAAGAAAATTAAGGCATGGAAAAATTAAATAGCTCAGGGTGACAGAACTAATAGGTAGGAGAGGCAGCACTGGGTCGTCTGAATCCCTAGCTCACCTTCTATGACACACTGAGTTATGTCTGATACCCACCAAATATCTAGGAAGGGCAAATCCTTTTTCCCATTTGAAGGGTGGGGAAAATGAGGCCAGATTGCTCAGGCAGGTCAGACAACTTGGCTGATTATCTCCCTACAAGCTCTTGATGAAAGACACTATCATTCTATAACTTGTGCTTTTATGGTCAAGGGAAATAGTGGTCTGATTGACAAAAACAATTTTTTGTGTGTGTGAAGAATTATCAGATAACATGCCTTATATATTCTTTTGACTGAAAATTCTAATCTTCAGGGGAGGGAGAAACCTTCCAGCTTAAAATAAATTGTAACTATTGCAGAATGCCTTATATAAAATAATTTTATACACACACTTATATTTTTAATTCAACTTGGGAATACAAAGATGGGGGCATGGGGTGAGGGAGAAGAAATATTGATTGTGTATCTACTATATGTTAGGCAATTTTACATATTATTTTTAATCTAATCTTCATAACAACCTTGTAATTTAGGTATTCTTAACCTTCTTTTAGTTGGAAGGAAATAAAGACTCCTGGGGTTTGCCCATAAAGCTAATAACTGTGAGAAGCAGCTTTGAACTACTCATGTTCTTCTCTTTGTATCTTGCTAACTCTAGAAAGAGAAACCTAAATGAATGCTATTTTATCATTAAAAAATTATATTCCCCATTTGTTTTGGAAATTTGAATATATGAAGATGACATATATGAAGAAAATAAAAGTCAATTGTAATGTCACCACCCAGACATAACTACTATGAACATTTCAGTTATCTCTCGCTCTCTTTCTATATATATATATTTAAATATAAATATATGTGTATATACACACATATATAAACACGCATATATACATGTCAGGATTATATATATATATTTAACATCTTTATTGGAGTATAATTGCCTTACAATGGTGTGTTAGTTTCTGCTTGATAACAAACTGAATCACCTATACATATATCCCTCTATCTCCTCCCTCTTGCGTCTCCCTCCCACCCTCCCTATCCCACCCCTCTAGGTGGTCACAAAGCACTGAGCTGATCTCCCTGTGCCATGTGGCTGTTTCCCACCAGCTATCCATTTTTACGTTTGGTAGTATATATAAGTCCATGCCACTCTCTCACTTCGTCTCAGCTTACCCTTCCCCCTCCCCATGTCCTCAAGTCCATTCTCTATGTCTGCGTCTTTATTCCTGTCCTGCCCCTAGGTCCTTCAGAACAATTTTTTTTTTTTTGATTCCATATGTATGTGTTAGCATACAGTATTTGTTTTTCTGACTTCACTCTGTATGACAGACTCTAGGTCCATCCACCTCACTACAAATAACTCAATTTCGTTTCTTTTTATGGCTGAATAATATTCCATTGTATATATGTGCCACATCTTCTTTATGCATTCATCTGTTGATGGACACTTAGGTTGCTTCCATGTCCTGGCTATTGTAAATAGAGCTGCAATGAACACTGTGGTACATGACTCTCTTTTTTTTGAAATTTTGAATTTTATTTTATTTTATTTTTTATACAGCAGGCTCTTATTAGTTATTCATTGTATACATATTAGTGTATATATGTCAATCCCAATCTCCCAATTCATCACACCACCACCACCCCCCTGCCACTTTCCCCTTTGGTGTCCATACGTTTGCTCTCTACATCGGTGTCTCAATTTCTGCCCTGCAAACCGGTTCATCTGTATCATTGTTCTAGGTTCCACATATATGCGTTAGTATACATATTTGTTTTTCACTTTCTGGCTTACTTCACTCTGTATGACAGTCTCTAGATACATCCACGTTTCTACAAACGACCCAATTTCGTTCCTTTTTATGGCTGAGTAATATTCCATTGTATATATGTACCACATCTTCTTTATCCATTCATCTGTTGATGGGCATTTAGGTTGCTTCCATGTCCTGGCTATTGTAAATAGTGCTGCAATGAACATTGGGGTGCATGTAGCTTTTTGAGTTAGGGTTTTCTCTGGGTATATGCCCATTGCTGGGTCATATGGTAATTCTATTTTTAGTTTTTTAAGGAACCTCCATACTGTTCTCCATAGTGACTGTATCAAATTTGGATTCCCACCAACAGTGCAAGAGGGTTCTGGTTTCTCCACACCCTCTCCAGCATTTGTTGTTTGTAGATTTTCTGATGATGTCCACTCTGACCGGTGTGAGGTGATACCTCATTGTAATTTTGATTTGCATTTCTCTGATACTTACTGATGTTGAGCACCTTTTCATGTGCTTCTC